TCAGGGCAGCCCCTAGCTGTTGTACACAGGTCCTCTGTATTGGTGCTGGGGATCCCAGGCCTGCAGCCACTTCAGCATACGCTTCAAGCATGTTGGTGGAGGGCGGGCAGGTGAGCACAGGAGGGACCTGAGTGCAGGGTCTCCTGACTCATGTCAGGAGGCAGTTTCCATATGACAAGTCCCTGTGTCCGTGGCGAGGGAGATACAAGCTGGGAATGGCTCCCTGGCCCCTCCTGGCCATGTGGGACCCTGGTGTCATGCTGCCTGCCCTGCTGGCCTGAGCAGCCCTGGTTGATGGAGACGCCTGTGTGAGCATGTGGGAGGGAGCATCGGCCAGCCAGAGGCCTGGGGTTGGCTCAGCAGGGGTCCCTGCACCCTGAATGTGAATCTCCCAGACAGACCGTGCTGTCTACCTTGTGCTTGGATGTCTGGAGAGAAAGGAGGAGGCCTGGAGGGTTTGCACCCTCATGTCCGTGGGCTGAGCCCTTGGACAGGCCAGGGGACACTGCCCGTGTCCTACTGGTTAGCTTTATTACTCTGTTTGTTAGTCATTCAGGTGGCTCAGACTCCCTTGGAGGACTCAGGTACCAAGCAGAATGTACAGATGAAAAAATGACAGATGCGGTGGTGCCTTTGCAGGCACTGTCTCCTCCGTCCTCTTCATTCCTTAAACACACCAGCTGGTTCTGGCCACAGGGCCGTTGCATGGCTGTTTTTTCTGCCTGAGATGCCCTTTCCCCCTATCCTAGTGTCTCTCTGCCATTCAGATGTCAGCTTAAATGATGTCACCTCCTCAGAGAGGACTTTCCTGGGCACCCACTCTGAAGTTGTCACCCTGTCACCCTCTTTGCTTTAAATCTGGGTAGAGCAAATATCACTACCCGATGTTTTCTTGTTTGTTCCTTGTTGGTATCGGGTGTAAGCCCTGTGAAGGTGGCAACCGTGCCCATCTTGTTCCCTGGTGTGACACAGTGCCTGGGCAGAGCTGGACACAGTCGGCACACACTCACTTCATGCACGAGGCCAGTAGTCACCCTTGAGCAGAGCGTAGTGATTGAGGGCACCAACTATAAAGTCAGGCGACTTTGGAAGCCAGTACTGATTTTTGCCATAGATTAGCTGTGTGATCTGAGCCCAGTTACAGATCTGTGCCTTGGTTTCCTCATTTGTGAAAGGAGGCTAATGATGGTCCCTATCTTGCAAGGTTGCCGTAAGTTTATATGAAGTGGTGGGTGTTGGACCTTTAGAAGAGTTTCCATAGTGTAGTGGGTACATTGTAACTTGTAGCTATGGCCTTCATCACCACCATCACCACCACAATCACCACCACCATCGCCATAATCACCACCACACCACCATCACCATCACTACCATCACCATCACCACCATCATTACCACCACCATCACCACCACCACCACCATCACCACCATCATTCATCATCACTACTACTGCCTCCATCACCATCACCACCATCATCACCATCATTATCACCATCACCACCATCACCACCATCATTGTCACCATCGCCACCATCACTGCTACTATCACCATCCCCACAACTATCACCATCACCATCACCGTCATCACCGTCCCCACCACTACTACCATCAACTCCCCACATGCCTGCCATAGTGTCCTGCATGGGCTGCCATGTCAGGGCCAGGTGATTGGAGATTGATGAACTAGGGTCTTCCTGCTCTGGGGTACGGCAGCCTGCTCTTCCAGGCAGATGGCTAGGACTGGGAGAGGTGGTGGCAGTGACATCCCTCCCATGACAGCAACCCCTGGAGGCAAGGGGGATAGGGGAGGCCGTGGCTTTCCTGTGAGAATGAGCCCCATGTGCAGCACTTTTGGCTCTGCAGATGTGATGCTTGCTGCCATGGTGACCGTCCTAACAATAACCTCCCAGAACTGATATTCCCCACATCCATCCCAGCTGCCACCTGGGAGAGAGAGCCCTCCTCACTGACGAAAACCAGCTAGAAAGGATAAGGTGGGAGGTGGAGATGACGTGGAGGTGCAGGTAGAAGAGGGCCCTTCTTGCAAGAGGGGTGAGAGGCCAAAGCCAGATGAGAGGGCTTCTGGGGTCTGGAACTCCAGAAAGCATCATGGCTGGTAGCCCTTCTCCCTTCCAGCTTTTCCACTCTTCTGGGGAGGAACCCTCTGGGTCTGGAGGTGGGGAGTGGGTTGTCCTGTGAGTGGAGTTGAGGGGTTGGGCTGTATAGGCAGGGACCCTCTGGGTCCCTTTGGTAGCTCTGTCATTCCTCACTGTGGTGCCCTGATCACCCTGCCCTCCCTGCTCTCCTCAGGGTCACTCGGTGTCATACCTTTAATATTCCAGCCCAGAGGAGGGGCTGCCCTGTTGACCTCAGGAGCTAACAGGAGTAGAACGGCGGCCTCAGATCACGCCCTTTTAGTGACCCTGACCTCATGTAAACTTGATCCTGGGCAGTCTCCCCACCCGGGGGAAGGGACCTCAAAACAGACACCCAGAGTGCTGTGTCCTTACCCAGGCCTGTAGGACGCCGTGCATGTGTGTGAGTGTGCATTGAGTGTATATATGTGTGTGTATGTGAGTGTGCGAGTGTATGTTTGAGTGTGTGTGCATATGTGTACGGTATATGAGTGTATGTGAGTGTGGGTTGTGTATGTGTGTGTATTGTGTGAGTGTGTATGTGTGTGAGCGTGTATTTGTGTTTGTATGTGTGTGTGTGAAAATAAAAAAGAGGCTTAATGGGGCAGTAAGGTTTGAGTCCCAGCCACTTCTTGGCTGTGTGACATTGGGCAAGTTGCTTCACCTCTCTGTCTCTCCGCTGTCCCCCCTACTAATGTGGGGATCATAATAGTATATGTCTCCTAGGACTGTTTGAGAATTAAATGAGATAATACATGTAGAATGCATATAAGCAAATCAGTGTCTGCTGTCATGGTGATTTTAATGCCACTTGATCATTGCGTGGCCTCACACTGGAAGGAGCACGTGTGACCCTGTCAGCGCACAGGGTCTGCTTGTAGCCTGGGCAGAGCCTGGTTTACTGGGGGGTGCAATTTTGTTTTGTTTGCTTGCCAATTGTATTCTACTGTGTGGGACTGTCTCCTTCTCCTTCCGCTGCAGATGGCCCAGCATGTGTGGGGAGAGGCTCCTGTGGGGCAGAACACAGCCGCAAGAGCAAGCCTCTGTTGGTGGGTGAGGGGCCTCCAGTCCTCCCCTGGCTGCCCCAGGAGAGGTGGGCGCCTGCCCATGAAGAGGCACCTGGGGTGCTCTGGTTCCAGCACTGAGCCCTGAAGGCGGTCTCCCCCTCTGCCCTGCCCTGCAGAGGTCAAGGCCACATCCTCCACAGGGCCCCCTCTGCCCCCAGTCCGGGTCCGGCCTTTACCCCAAGTGTTCCTTGGCCTCCAGCTGTCTCTTGGGTGCAGGCTGGGTCTGCAGAACCACCCAGTACAGGGACTGGTCACCACCTGGTCTGCTCACCTGCCTGACAGCCGTGTGCCAAAGGCATCCTGGTCGGGGGGGCCCTGGGTCCATCCCCACCGCCCACTCCTGCCTTGGAATCCCTGCATTAGATCTTTTATCCAGGAAATATTTATTGTGGCTTCTGGGACCAGCCCCGGGCCGGCCACCAAGGTGAGAGAGATGCGCAGGACAGGCCCAGACCCTCTGCCTGGGGAGCCCACGGTGCAGCAAGTGGCTCCTGTCAGGGCCTGCTGAGCCGCCCAAATCCGGAGCTGGCTGCTGGAGACTGCACGCCCGCAGGGCCTCCGCACGGACCCCGGCCCTTCCCCCTGAGGACCATGGGGCTGCTGAGCGCAGTGGGTTGTCTTCACGGGATCTGAAGTGCCGGCTCTGGATGGCAGCCTAGGTGTGGCCCTGGGAGGGACCCTTCTGTGGGGCATGGGGTCGGCCCAGCCTTGCCTGCCCCTCCCCCCCGCTCGCCCCTCCTCCTCTCCTGGGCCACTTTCAAGATGGACCCGCTTCTTCCAGGCCCGAGCTGGAAGCAGGCAGGTGGACTAGGCCTGGGAGAGGGAAAATAAATGTGTGCCCCTACCTGGGCAGGGGGGCTGAGAGCTCTCAGGACCCCAAGATGCAGACGGAGCAGCCACTGTTTCCCTGATTCGACACTCTGCCTGAACTGGCAATGTCTGTTCCTGGGACCTCTGTTCCAGACACCCCAGTGTCCAGTGCTAGGAGGAGGGAGGGAGGGAGGGAGGGGCTAGGACCATGGGGGAGGGGGTAGCCTTCACCCTTTCATCTCCCACTCCCAGTGTCCCCAGGGTGCAGGCCTGGTCTGGGAGGCTCCTGGGCAGCTCTGCCAGGGGGCTGCACTGTGCGGTGTGTAGAGTGGTGGAGACCCGGGCAGGAGGGGTCCTGTAGCATCTCCTCCTGGGGGTGTGAGGAATGAGTCTGTGGAGGGAGGGCTCCCCCCTCCCCCATGTGCACCTGAGGCCCCTCCTGAGGTCCAGGTCAAGGCTGGCCTTCAGGGGAGAGAGGGGGCTGAGTTCACTGTGTGCAGTCTCGTGTGTGTGTGTGTGTGTGTGTGTGTGTGTGTGTGTGTGGCGTGCAGGGAGTCGCCAGGAGGCAGCGGAGAAGCAGGCTCAGGGAGCCAGCGGTTCCCTGTGTGCTTCGTCCCAGGCGCATGGCCGCGGGTGCTGGTGCCAGCGCAGCATGTGCAGGGCCAGGGCGCGAGTGCGAATTCTGGGAGCAGGAGTGGGTGCGAGAGCGTGTGCAGGGCGCGGGCGCTGCTGTAGGTGCAGGGCTCAGGTGCGTGTGCGGGTGCGAGTGTAGGGCGCGATTGCGGGCGCGGGGAGCGTGCAGGGGGCGGCGGGCGGGGCGGGCGCGGCGGCGGCAGTGACAGCGTCGCCCGCGCTCCCCGCGCGTAGGTGTACGGCGCGCTCCTGGCGAGCACGGAGCGCGCAGATCTCGCGTGCGCTCGCCGCCCGGCGCAGCCCAGCCCGGCCCCCGCTCGGCGCCGCGAGCCGAGGTGTCGCCCGCGCCCGCTCCCGTGTCGCCGCCGTGCCCGCGAGCGGGAGCCGGAGTCGCCGCCGCCCGAGCGCAGCAGAGCGCACGCCAAGCCCGTCCGTCGCCGCCATGGCCACCACGGTGACTTGCACCCGCTTCACCGACGAGTACCAGCTCTACGAGGATATTGGCAAGTAAGAGCCGCGGCGCGTGCGGGCTGGGCCGGGGACCCCGGAGGGCGCCGCGCTCCGAGGGCCGGGACCCTGGAGACCCAGATCCCCTGCGCCGCCGGCTCCGGGTGCACTGCGGCCCCGCGCGACCCCGGCTCCTCCCGGCTCCGAGCCCGGAGCGCACGGCCTCGCGCGGCCCCGACCCCCGGGCCCCCGGGGCCCAGCCGCCGGACCTCGGCGCGCGCGGCCCTACCGGGCCCTGTCCAGCGCGACCGCCCGGCCGGAGGCCCCGGCTCGAGGCGCGGGGCTCGGTGCAGCGGGGGCGGCAGCAGGTGTCCCCGGAGCGCCCGGCAGACGTGACGCATTTGGCGGCCGGAGGTCGGAGAGGAGCGGCGCGCGGGGGTGGCCGCGGGGCCTGGAGCGCGGGGGAGGGGGCGGACCTAGCCGAGAGGGTCGTCCCCGGCGCGAGCCGCGCTGTCCCCACCCCCAACAAGCGGCTGGGCGCGGGGGCGGCGGGACTTGCTCTGCGCCTGCTTCTCCGCGTGGCTCCATCCGCGCGGGGGGTGCCAGCTGCGCTCCGCGCCGCGTGGGAACAGCCTCTGCTGTGGGTGCCTAGGGGAATCGGGGTTCTGGAGGATTTTCCCCCAGATCCTTCTGGAAAGGGGAGTCTGGAGTGCTGGGGGCTGAGGTCAGGGAGCTTGGATCAGGTCACCGGGGTGAAGATGATGGGGTGAGGTGGGAGCCTGATGAGCTTCAGGGTCATGGAGGCAGGTGGGGGCTGGATTCTGGAGAGTTGTTTGCGGGGAGGTGATGGGAGGGACTTTGAAAGCTCGTTTCAGGTAGGGCCTCACCGGGGAACAGGTGGCTCCTGGGCTTTGCTCGCCAGCAGGAGCCGTGTAGGGCCCTAGACCTGCCTCTGCCTCCGGGCTCTACCCCGAAGCGGGTCGGCGGCTCCTCTCTGGCCTGCGGGTCTCCACTCTGTGCATCAGGGTGGCTGCACCTGGCATCTCCACGTCTGGCTCCAGAACTCCTGAAGCCCTGGCTCCAGCCTGGCGTGGCCAGAGCCCCGTTCTCCTCCGTCCTCCTCCAGCCCACCCCGTGGAAGGGGCGCTGGCGAGGTTTCCTCTTACGCATCCAGCGGCAGATCTTTTTTTTCCTTTTATTAAGAAACGTCTGTGGTGATACCTTGTGTTGGCGAGGGAAGCTGATCACTGATAATTGTGGGCGCGAGCTGGGAGGAGTGCGGGGGGTGTGAATTCCCCAAGCCTCCCTGCACGTGGGGGACGATGCCAGTTAGGCCTGGGGGCTGCTGAGGGAGTGGGGTGGAGTGGAGAAAGCCCGTGGCAGGGTGCGGGCAAGGCTGGGCCCTGGGGACCCCAAAATTCGCTTCCCTCAGGTAGGGGCTGGTTGAGTGCCTGTCCCCAAGGCAGGAGGACCTGGAGAGCAGAGAAGGGATCCAGCACACAAACTGTGCATCCCGGAGGCCCTGAGGAAGCTTCCGGGGCATGTCTGGGAGCAGGCCTGTGAGGACAGGGCGACGGGCTGGTGGTCCTCAGGTGGGAGCAGGTGGTTGTCCGAGGCAGAGGGTGGCAGTGGGGGGAAGGTTACCCCATTCTAGGGGATCTTCTTGTCGTTTCTCTGCTTGTGCCCAGGCCCTCCCATCAGGCACCCCCGGGCCCTTTGGCAGAAATGCCTCTTCCCGTCCACCCCGTCTCCTCAACCTGAAGCTGGCTCTGCTGACCTCTCCTTCACTTTTCTGTGAATCCCTCTGGGCCAGCGGCCCTGTAGGGTGGTCAGATCAACCTCGGGCCTCTGGTTGCAGCAGCAGCGACTGGCTATTCTCATCGCTCCCGTCCACACTCACACTGGGGGATGGAGGTCCTTGGGGCTGCCCTCGGGGAGGCCGGGAGGGGTGGTGGACCCTGCAGTGGAGGCCAGGCTCCTCGGGAAGGGAGCTGGGGGCCTGGGGTGGGAGTGGGTGAGGAAGCCTAGCTGTCTAGGGGTCCCAGGGGCCTGGGAGAGGAGGGGAAGACACCCCACCAGCTGGGCCAGCCCAGCACCCCTTGGCGGCGCCCCCCGGCACCAGGCCCAGTGCGGGATGCCCAGGGGCCTGTCACAGCCCTGCTGGGGCGTCCTGGGGCGGGGGAGGAGGCTGGGCCAGTGCAGGGTGAGCTGCAGCGGGGCAGGTGGTCAGGAGGGAGGGTCGGGCACTGAGGCCAGCGTCTCTGCCCGGGGCTGGGGTCCGCAGTGGCCATGTCGGTGGTTGTTGACAGTGCCTGGCCGGCCTGAGGCACAGTTGGTGTTGCTTCCCGGCCCAGGTGGATGCGTCCAAGTTTATTTAAAGCTGCAGCCCCTGGCACCAGTCAGGCAACACTAAACTCCCTGCCTGGGAAGGGCCGGGCCACAGGCCCACAGCTGCTCTCATGGCGCGGTCACCAGCCTCACCCTTCCCTGCCCTGTCCCCTTCTCCACCTGTCCCACCCTCGCCACTGCTGCCTCTGCGCGGGATCGTTCCCTGGCGACCTGGGCATTGGGTCCGAGGGCCAGGAGAAGCTCATTTCTGGGGCTCTGCCCTTCCTTGCCGGGCCGGGGCAGGGCTCCCCGACACCAGCCTGGAGGCCTAAGTCCTGGGTCAAGAGTCACCTTGAGCCCCGGACAGTCACGGGTCAGGGCGGTGAAGCCCTCGGCCCAACACGGACCGGCCAGCAACATGGCTTAAAATGTTTCCATATTGGATAGATTTTTTTAAATGGAAAAAAAACTTCCAGGAGTAATAAAACAAACACTTGTGTCTCTTCTACCCGGAATTGGAAACTGTTCCTCTTTTGTCATTTTGGCTTTAAGTCCTTTATTTTAAATTGTAAGAAATAAAGCGTTACAAAGAAATGTTAAGTAACCATTCTCCAAACTGACTGTCATGCATTTGGAATTTATCCTGCCAGACTCTTTTTGCTTCATTTACGCACAGATAGAAGGATCGCCAACTAATATATAGGATTCTTTGGTGTTTTTCCTTTAAACTTTACATAAAAATTTGGGAACGTGCTTCTTCACTCAGCTTAGGCTTCTGGGCATCTGTGCATGGGGACACATTCTGACCTTTCACTGCTGCTTGTGTGTAGTGACCGTAGTATCTGTAGTACGTCACGCTCCCTTCCTCATGGCAGTCTTGGTGTTCCCAGAGTTTCTCTCTTCCACTCCTGCAGCGGGTTTGCTGGCGCGCAGGTGTGAGGGTTTCTCTAGGGTTTGTCCCCCCTGGTGGGGTTGCCAGCGGGGGTCCGGGTGTTCTCTGTGTCCGCCCTGGGCCCACTCCCTCCGGCCCCCTCCCCGGGCTTGGTGCCAACCTGATTTGTCGGGCTGTTTGTTGGGTAGGAAGCAGTCTTGCATTTTGTGTTCAGGCTCCCGAAGCTTCCACTTTGGGGAGTCATCCCCTTTAAAATATGAGTGGTTCCCCGCCAGGGAGAAAGCAGCTCCCACACGGCTTTGGATATAATTCAGGGGTTCATGGACCCCTCCCCATGGGGGAAGGTTGTAACAACCCCTAAGGGGCGCATCACTTGGAACATTTGATTTTATTTGATTTGAGTTGCCGGGGAATCCCCCCTCCCCTCTCCCCCCCATTTTATAGGTATAGAACTGCAGCTCAGGGTGGGTGGGCAACTTGCCCTGGCAGCCGGGAAGGCCCCCATCTCCAGCCCAGGGCACCCCTGTCCCTCCCAGCTTCCCCCGAAGCTCAGCTAGGCCCCGAGCTGACCTTGGTATGTCCTTGGTTCCATCCAGCGTGCCCCAGTCGGGGGACAGCAGGTCCTGTCCCGGGCTGTGACCCCTCGCCAGGAGGATAACCATCGGCTTTCTCGGCGTCCTCTCAACTAGCAAGCGGCCTGCTAAGTAGTTAATAGATAAACTCAGGAAATTCAGAGCAAATCGACTGTGAGCCTCCTGAGCTCCGAAGCCTGGTTGCCAGGAAAGACAGGACTCAGGTGGGGGAGGAATCACCGTGTTTGCTTTCTCAGCTCTCGGGCACACTGGGTGCTTCCTGCCCCAGGGCCTTTGCCAGCGCTGTTCCCTCCTCCTCCGATGGCCACACAGGTCATCCCCCTGGCTGCTCAGTGAGGTCCCCGTGCCCCCTTCCCGCCCCATTCAACCTCTCCCCACTTCTGTCTTCCCCTGTCACTTGGCACCATCTGACACCAAGGTGTGGGGCAGGTCCTGCCCACAGTGGGGTCTCCTGCACGTGCGAGGAAGGGGTGAGTGAACCCGGTGGCCTCTGTCTCCTAGGCTGGCCCCCAGCGCTGGAGTCTGGGTGCCTAATGTAGGGTATTTAGAGAAGAAGTCGCACATGTTGAGGCTGCTGTGAGATGCACATGAAGGTGAGGCTAGTTTAGTTACTATTGAACGGTATTTTTATACCATAACCTACTTTGCTGAGAGCTAAGAATATATCTTGCGCTTGCGACTTGCACTCTTTCTCTGCTGGTAACAGTTAAATGGTGCTTATTACATTAAGCTGCTTGATCTGTGAAATAGGTACCGTGATCACTCCCAGTTTGCAGAAGAGGTGCCTGAAGCTCAGAGAAGCTCCACACGGGGCCAGAGTTTGAATCCAGGCAGTTGACTCTGGAATCCATCTTCTGCTTCTCTCAGAAGCTCATGACCCTACCCCATTCTGTGTTTTTAAAATACTGTTATTCCACTGGCCGACTCATGGCCCGCTTGTGGTCTCGTCTGACCCTGGGCTCCTCAGGGCCTCACCTATCCTTAGCAGGCTGCTCACCAAGCCTTCTTCGTTCTTTTCCAGCACAAAGGCACTGCCCTACGGTTCCTTTTGGTAAAAACGTCATTTCCTTTGGTCGTCCCTCTGTGACAACCAACACTGCCCCCATTTGAGACCGGCAAGGCTTAAAATTTTATTTTATTCATTAAACAGACAACCAGGATAGTATCTTATAAAGAAAAACCAATACGTAAGTATGTGCAGCAAATGTGACTCTTCCACACTCGAGTTTCCTCATCCCGCAGAGGAA